CATGCACTCCAGTCCCCGTGGCAAATCTTGGATATTTTTCTTGCTAGTACAGGTAGGTATGCCAGTCCGTATGTGTGTGTTTTTGTTCATCCCCCTATCTCTGAAAATCCACATCAGGCGATACTTCGCTGACAAGAATGATTCATGCGCAATCAAAGCTCGAGCCATTGCTTACGCTCATCTCGAGATGTTGTAATAAATTTCATGAGCTACACTACTAGCGGCTGCAATAAAACACCAATTGAACATGCTAGATCGACATACGCATCATTGTAGGCCAGGCTCACGTCCAGTTTGTGGGTCACTTGCAGTGGGTACTCCGTCTCTGTGTAACAGCCACAAGAGCACAAAATATTTCTACCTTTCACGCACTGAACAAGCAAAATGACCATTTTAACCAACTATCCAGAACAGAATAAGATAGTTTTATCAAACCAACTAGAATTGGCATATGGTGAGTGCTACTGAAATATACCATACATTTTATTATAGTTAAGCAATTTTTAAGACATTCTGCGATCAAAAATTGGAATGCTTTCCAAAATTGCACTTTTCAGAATATGGACTACGAATTTGATATATCTTATCGCTGAGATCATGAAGTCGTACTAAAATATTCTTCCATTACTCAACATAAGCCGAGTGGATTAATAATAATTTATGACATTCCCCAATGATGGCTTCGAATAATCTTATTGTCAAATAAAGTTAACCGAATACCGGAATGTACGCAAAAATGATAGGGAAACTCCAATTTCTCGATCGAGTTTTATGATGGGAACAACAGCGTGGTGACCAAAACCATCACTAATTAGAAAATGTGAAAAGTTTGATAACTGGCGTTGTTTACGAAGATTTTACATGGAGGGAAATATAGGGCCACTGATAATGTCGTCCGAAAAACGGCTTGACTACCGAACCAGAGTTTTTCATGACTTGGTTGTTGCAGATTGGCTCTATGAAATTATACTGAAACAGCTGGAAGTGATACCAGGAAATCGATCAATGATATTCGGACAGCTTGAATTGCAAAAGGTATAGTATTACAAATAGAAGCTAGAATTGATTGGTTATGTGCAGGTCAAATCTGTGCGTCACACGAACTGCTAGTTTGAATATTTTCACAGTTGCTTCAAATGTCAGGCTAAAATATGTGAATAAGATCGGTTGTGAGCAGGTTGCATTGCACCCATTTTATTTAGGAATCCATGTTATGTCATCAAAGACAATTCCAAATAGGACTGATACCGACCCATTCTGATGGATTTGAAACAATTGTTGGTCTTTGGTATGCTCGACGGTTAAGGGATTCATTTATTCCGGACAGCTATCTCACTGAAAATTATTTTCATGAAATAAAAGACATTGTTGGGTTCGATCATAAATGTGACTGAACAAAACGGAGGATATATACTTTCGGACCTCGTAATTCAAATACCAGAGAATTTACCATCTGTCACTTGTACTGCACAACTGGCTCACAGCATAAAAAACCAGAACGCGTCCGATTACGTGCATTTCAAATAAGCGAGACAAATGGGGTATCACGTTTTGGGTATTAGCGGAAGACAGGATAAATTCTGTGAACATGATTTCATACCCGGGAGTTTGTGACTGTGTGCTATCAACTGGTCAGCTATCAGCGGATGACATGGTAGTGCATAGTACAACGGGATTGGACCATAAATGATATTTTATTACAAAATACATTGTTTTCACACGTTTTTAATTAGCAAACATACAAAATGAACAAGGAATAACAAAACTGGAAGGGGAACTCGAACCAACCAACTTATGGTAAAGTTGAAAGAAGAGTCAACGAAACTGTACACCGTTGCATTTTAGTGGAATTATTAAAAAATAACAGCACCTGGTTCGCGTTCAGCAGTTACCACATTTCATCAAAGCCTCTTCGTTCAGTGCTAAGACCTGGTTTCGGTCAGAACGCCAATGCAAGGAATGGCTATGAGTCCATAACCCAAAAAAAAGTCAGAACACAAAAGAACATGCTAACCAAAGTTGATTTAACGATTTGTGTAACACTATGTGGGAATACATTGATCGACCAAACGACGACCTTAAACTAGATCGACATGGTTCACGGACAAACAGCCTGAAGATTTCAAATCAGTGTCTGCCATTAACAACTGCATCACATGACTGGACGCTCAATCGGAACGGATGTTGGGTATGCTGTATATGGGAAACAATCAACAGAAAGCAGCTTTCTTTTCTTTCTTTAATGAACACAAGTTTAGAGTTAAGATAAAGGATGCCAAGTTGAAGAAACGCGGCACTCGTTTCGAATCTCACCGACGAAATACGTTGGTTAGGGGCAAATATGACTGATTCTACGGTTCTAACCGCAGTGACTTGTTACAGACCAGTCTCAAGGGTAAGGCTACCCGGAGTCAGCGACTGAGAAAACCATATGTTCTCAAATCCCGATCTAGTCTTGTATCCAATACTTCAAAATCAGAAATTCACCAAACAAAAATAGAACGTGCTCAAAACACAGAGCTGCAACAACCAGTCCGGCGTAGCCTATTTCACTTATAACGGAATATTTTGTGGAATGTGTTGTCGAAAGTTAGCAAAGAAAGTATTTGCTTCGCAATGTAACCTCTGTGGAACCTATGGATGAACGATGTATTTTCTGAATGAATGCTGTTCTTTTATGAATGCTTTATCATCATTAGCATTATCTTTAGCATTATAGCAATCACGTCGTCATGTAAGAAGATAAAGGTAGGCGATCGGATGAAATTCACTTAAAGTGCGTATTTCAGTTGTATCTCTATGCTGCCGTATAGATCTGATAGGAGAATCTTGTGAACTAATAATGCCTGTAAACTAGCACTCAGAAGTAGGGCCACGCTAGAGCTCACGATAAAACTGATTTTGCTTGTCTGTAAGCTGTGGGCGTTACTGTGGTACTCAACCATTTCTCTTTTGACTAGTAAAATGATGTATGCATAGGTGTGTGTAGATTGGACGGCAATGTGATGAAGCTTGTTGATAGGACAAATGGAGACATCACGTTGTTTCTCATCCAGCTTTAAACCCTTGAACTTTGAGCACACTATAGCGAATCATAAATAAACTGTAACATCGGATTGTATGAGAGAGTAAAAAGACAAAAACAAAATAGAAGTTTAAAAAACCGATAAAATAGAACAGTATCACGAAACTCACTTTTGCTTATCATACTCCTTCTCCCAGCGCTTGCGCAAACGCCACAATTTCAGCGCATTCCGCATTCGCTCTTTTCGTGTCAATTTTAACGCCATCCGTCCCGATCGTAAACGACCGGTCGAACTGGATCGATTGTATTGGATCGTGTCCATCGGATCTGTGTGACAATCGTCACTTTGATTCAGCAGAGTAGACTCATGCACATCATGAGTGGAGCAATCGTTTCGATACAGCAATAGTGTACTCCGATCGGAAGCGGATGTGAATGAATTTACCGGATCCACAAAATCGCCATCCACGTCACAATTCATGATTCAACAGGATGGTCACAACCGGCCGCACAGACAAACCCAACATGCAGGGATGTTCGAATGACAACAGCGAGAGAGAGAGAGGGAGACAAACAAGCCGTGGAAGCCAGGTGTTCACTGTCTGTACTTGTGAATAAACACCCACGTTGTCAGCGGTATCAACGGCTGTCCTATTTCGTCACCTTCCATCACAGATCATAGTTCGAGTATCGGTTGTTCATTCTCCACGGATGCATTTACCTATTCGACGATATTCGTCTGTCCGTCCATTCTTAGAGTCAGCTCGGTGGAAGTGAAGGCGTTTTTGCATCTGTGTGTGTGCGTGTGTGTTTAAGTACGCTTGTGTGCGGCAGCCTAAGAGTGCACACATGCTTGCATACAGTGCGTGTAGCGCTGGCTGCGTGATTGCCTCGATTCGTCCGGGTTGTTTACTTTAGCCACATTGCTCCCCCCCCCCCAACTTAACCTCAACGTTCTCGTCCAAACTTGATTTGGGCCAATCATTTCAAACACCACCCAGTACAAGGATGATCTTCAATGGTCTACGAACTACCGAACTACCCTCGTGATTCAATGTCTTCACGAGGATCGAACTTTGCTCTGCGCGATGAAACCGCTGGCCCATTGGGTTGTATTGTGAAGACAACGCATCATGCCCTCGTCAATGTCTTACGTGAACGCGTCAATGACGATATGGAAAGATCACGATTCGGTCGTATCAAAATATTATACACACCTGCGGTGTATCTCATGTACGCATTACGTCATTAGGTCATCAGTATAGGAAATGTGTAGCGTCACTTGTCGAGGTTATTTTCTAGGGATAAATACCGAAAAAGTACGATTTATAATACTTGGAATGAAAGTTGAACAAAGCATTCTATAGATCATTCATTATAATGCATGTCAACGAGCTTAGAGAATCATCTATTTTTACTTTGCGATCCAATCCCAGCCGAACGGAAGTGGAAATCAATGGTTAGCATATAAAGAAGTCTAAAACCATAAGTTACAATTATAATAATGGGGATGATGATAATGGAGAAATTTCAGAGGTTTGTCCATCCTACGTTTCCGCTTCGCCATCACAGTCTATTTTATTAAAAGCAACTGATCAATTTCATTAAATCTTGAATCTCAACGATTTCGCTTTATTCTAGGGGAGAGGGTAGTTCCGACCCATGTATTATGAATAATGATCTGATGGTTCAGTGGTTTACTTTTAGTACCGGGGCCTCACATATTCTTAAGTTGCTATCACTTATCTCCCGACCCAGCATGACTAGACTGCACCCTGACGTGGTGTGATGGCTTGCTCACCTTCATGATCTTGCGAGCTACGCAGGATGGTTTTTCACAAATGCAGATCCAATCAAGTCTGAACAGTCAATGGGTTTCCTTTTCGCCCAGCTCCGCATCCCGTTATAGTACTGGGGATTCACTTGTTATCCTGACATCGTGACAAACGTAGACTACGAATACTCGAGGTGGTGGTATAGATCGCTCATATCTGACCTACTCAGTGAGTGCAACAACGTATGAACTTGATCCTTGGACTACCCTGGCTGTAAACATGCAAAACATAAACAAATTTCCTTATTCATTTCATGATTGTGAAATGGGTTTAATGTAACGAGCACGAGTATGAAATGACTTCCTCTCGTAGCGTTTGTCTTCTCACTTCCCCGTGACATATTCCGAGTCGATCGTAATGCGAGCTTCCTTCACAGAGGCGGTGGAGTGGTAACTTTCATCAACAGAAAATGGTGTAAAAACGCTCGTAAATGTTTTCGATTCAATACTCCCAAGATAAATTGTATTTTTGTTTATTGTAAGCCCCGATTTATTAGTCACTTTCATCATATTACATTAGAGAACATTTACATCGCTCCCGACACGCCTGCCTCTGATATTCGTCTGTTTGTCGACTCCTTCTCTTCACAACTTGTAACCGGTTTAGACCAGTCTTTATGCATTGCTGCTGGTGATTTTAATCATTTTAATATCTCTTTCCTCGCAACTTTAGGCTTGACGAATCTTGTAAATTTTCCTACCCGGTTTAGTGTCCAACTCGACGGGATTTTTGTAAATAGCCCCGAAATCGTTTTCATTGAGAAGCGGGCTCCCATAGGTAGCTCTGATCATTGCTTTTCTTTCGCCCTAAGATTTACGGTAAATATTTTCATCACCATATGAACCGTTCCACAT